TGCAGCTTACAGGTTAAATGGGATGATCCATGTGAAATGTTTGTTTCATGAAATATTTATTTTTGCTTTTGAATGAGATTTTTGTGAGCCATCATTGATACATGCTTTAATTATACGTGCATCCTGTTGTTTCTCAGAGAATTCTTTGCTTAGTTATAGGGCAGTATATTTGAGGAGACATCAAAAATTTCATGGAAAATACATATTATGAAAAAATATGCATGGATTCCAATCTTTGCATCAAATTATGCATATTTATTTGCTATTTTTAATATATTTTTGAGATAGCATATTTTTAGTATACATTACAATCAAAGGCTTAATGGCTCCGCTAAATAAACAGTTCAACAAATAAAAAGGAACTATAGAAAAGCAGGAAAATAGGCAAGCCCTATAAATTATAATCAAATGAAAACATGTTCAACTTCACTCATATTTTTTAATAAAAGCAATCATTAATACTACAGTAGCATGCAATTCCTATAATTTTGAGAAAATTATGATTTAATTCCATTTTCCATGAGCTTTTATAGAATTTTTTTTTTTTTTTGACAGGCAGAGTGGACAGTGAGAGAGAGAGAGACAGACAGAGAGAAAGGTCTTCCTTTTCGCCGTTGGTTCACCCTCCAATGGCCACCGCGGCCGGCGCGCTGCGGCCGGTGCATCGCGCTGATCCGATGGCAGGAGCCAGGTACTTATCCTGATCTCCCATGGGGTGCAGGGCCCAAGGACTTGGGCCATCCTCCACTGCACTCCCTGGCCACAGCAGAGAGCTGGCCTGGAAGAGGAGCAATCGGGACAGAATCCGTTGCCCCGACCGGGACTAGAACCCGGTGTGCCGGCGCTGCAAGGCAGAGGATTAGCCTATTGAGCCACGGCGCCGGCCGCTTTTATAGAATTTTTAAATGTTGCTGTACTAAATTTAAAAAGGCAGCAATGATTAATTTTTAGTGTAGCCATTTACTCAAGACAATAAAATCTTGAAGGGAGAAACTGAACAGTAAACAACAACAAATTAACAACTCACTGAAATAGAATGGATTAGGAAAACATTTTAACTAAGAATATCTTTATTATATCTTTAACATAAAATGCATATTAAAATATAAAAATATAAGATAAAGATACAAAATATCTTTAAAATATCTTACATTTAAGTGGAATCACTTTCTTTTATGTTATGTTTGCTATTTCTAAAGGAAAATCTGTTACCTTTTGTGACAAAATAGATTAAATCATCATTATTTATAACCTGAATTTCCAGAATGTGGTCAAGAGTTGCAACTAGTTTCTTAACCTGCTTGATAGAAAATGTAACAGTTAATGAAGCATAGAACATTGTGTAAAATTGTGTTCCTAGTCTAACACAGCAGTTAATGTTTTACTGACTTAAATGTTTTCCTTTTCATGCTTACTGAGTCCCTTAAATCCCATGATTCAAAGAAATTAATTAACTGAAAGAGTTACTATTTGCAAGCATGTCACTTCTGGGAATTAATGTGTCTACAATAAAATCTATGTCACTTTTTTCACCAATTAATATTACTGGACAAGGTTGAGTCATACAATTTCCATTAATTTTTAAATGTCTCAATAACGTATTATAAAGAACCAGGAACTTCAAATCTTCTCAAAGGTCACATGGTGAAATTCCCATAATGGGTTACAGGCTGAGTTTGTCTCACAACAAAGGGCCGTTTTCAATTTCTTCTCCCTCTGTTAGAACTCAGTTGGGCCTGTAATTTACAATGACATGTTTCTCTTTCCATTTTCATATCCTTTTGAATTTCTTCAATCTTATGCTCCCATTGCCTCTCTCAGGTATACTTTGTTCACAAGTGTCATATGGAATTAGAAAGATCTGGAGGCACCATTATAAAGCTTTGGAAACTTCAATAATGTCACTTTATCTGTTAAAGGGTCAAAATAGTATTGACTTCTCTAAAAAAATAAGTTGTAGGTGTCTTTATGAGGTATCTGGAAGGAGGATGTAGGATTACCATATTCAAAAGTTCAATGACACCAGTGTGCCTCTGTCTTTGAATCCTAATCTACTAAATTGTACTCTTCTTGAAGACTGAGGTATTTTATTTTTCTTTGCATTTTGAATATGCTATCTGGCTTATAATATTAACATGGTAAATATTTGTTGAATAGGTAAATAAGAAAACTAGCTTTCTACTCCAACGTTTTCCTTTCATAAGGAAACTAAATTTTCCTGACAAATGAATATCCAAAATATTTTTAAATTTAGTGGCAGAAATCTCATCATTATTCAGTTTGGCCATTTTACTGTTGGGCATTATATCTTACTTCTTTTATTATTATCTGAAAGGTCTTTGGTCAAGGAATTTAAATGCTTTGAGAATTAATTTCATTATTTGTCCATATATTGTCATATGACCATAATGCTTACATAAAAACTTATAAGAATTAAATATGTCAACATTTAGGAAAATTTCTTATCTAATTTTTGGCTCACAGTTTTTTCTCAGTGTATTTAACCAAAAAATTATCTTTTCTCTCATTCAATCAGTTGCTCAAGCCAATAGTTCTTTATTTCTTGGACTCTGTCATCCATGCATAGCTTTTTTTTCTACTTGATTTTTAAATTTTATTCTATTGCTGTTGAAATAATAGATATGTCATTTAACATCATTAAACTGAGAGTTGAATTAATTGCACAATATAATAAAGACACTTATTTCGTTCTTGAAGAATTGTTAGTACCAAATCGCCTTCTGTTTACACTGCTCCGTGCTTTCAATTACTCTTCTGTTGGGTCATTCTTTCAGATCCATGAGTTCTTTCTTGCTTTGTTTTTGTTTCTCTATATTACAGTTTTTAAATTAATTAATTAATTTGAAAGGAAGAGAGGTGAGAGAGAAAAAGGGAGAGAGAATTTAATTTCCCATCTGACAGTTCATTCACCAAATGCGTCCAACAACTGGGACTAGGCCTGGATGAAGTCAAGCTAGGAAGTCTATCCAGTACTACATGGGTGACAGGGACCCAAATACTTGAGTTATCATCTGCAACCTCCTGCTTTAGCAGGAAGCTGGAACTGAGAACAGAGTTGAGATTTGAATTCAGGCACTCAGATATGAGATATGAGTATTACAAATAGCATCTTAATTACTAGTCCAAATGTCCAGCCATGGATTATTTTTCTTCTAAGGAATCTCATGGACACTAGCACCCACATCTTAAATTTTTTGTTTTAAAATTTTTTTCATATTAAATTAAAAATTTTCTTGAGCATAGAATTTTATTCTATTTTAAATTTTTGTGTAAGGGAAATCAGTTTCATGTATTTCATATATACAGTTTTAAGAGCATAGTGAGGGGCTGGTGCCATGGCGCACTAGATAAATCCTCTTCCTGCCGGCGCTGCCGTAGCTCAATAGGCTAATCCTCCGCCTGCAGCCCTGGCACCCCGGGTTCTAGTCCCAGTTAGGGCGCCGGATTCTGTCCCGGTTGCTCCTCTTCCTGTCCAGCTCTCTGGTATGGCCCGGGAGTTCAGTGGAGGATGGCCCAAGTGCCAAGTGCTTGGGCCCTGCACCCCCATGGGAGACCAGGAGAAGCACCTGGCTCCTGGCTTCAGATCAGTGCAGTGCGCCGGCCATGGCGGCCATTTGGGGGGTTAACCAACGGAAAAGGAAGACCTTTCTCTCTCACTGTCCACTCTGCCTGTGGGAAAAAAAAAAAAAAAAAGATAAATCCTCTTCCTGTGGCCGGCATCCCATATGGGCACCGGTTCTAGTCCCAGTTGCTTCTCTTCCAGTCCAGCTCTCTGCTGTGGCCCCTGGCTTCGGATCAGCACAGCTCCAGCCGTTGTGGCCATTTGGAGAGTGAACCAATGGAAGGAAGACCTTTCTCTCTGTCTCTCTCTCTCTCACTGTCTGTAAACTCTACCTGTCAAATAAATAAATAATCTAAGAGCATAATGACACTTCCCATCCTACCCTCCATCAATCCCTCTCTCTCACTCTCCTCCTCCATCTCCCTTTCTTATTTTTCTTTTAATTTTTACAGGGACATACTTTCAACTTATTTTATATTCACAAGCTTAACCCTCCACTAAACAAAGAATTCAACGAGTTATAAGTAGAAAAAACACTGTTCCTCAAGAGTATAAAATGTCAATTTTGCTCAAATATATTACTTTTTTTGCACTCTGCATATTTGTTACCACAAAAAGGGGAAAATATATATTTGTCTTTTGGAGCAATGTCTTATTTCACTAGGCATAATGGTTCTGAATTGCAATCCATTTTGTTGAGAAAGACAGGATTTCACTCTTTATGGCTGAGAAGTAGTCTATCACGTGTGTGTGTGTGTGTGTATGTATGTTTTTGTGTTTGTGTATGTGTATGTAATATATTTTCTGAGATATGTAGTCTCTTTTCTCTCACACAATGGAACTAATAAACTGTCCAGTGCCAATATAATTCTCTTTCTTCTGTAGATTATTTTTTTGTTTCTTGACAAATCATTATGATTCGGTTTTTGGAATTCTGAAGTTTCATTACTTTCTGATTGCTCTCGTCCTTTTACTTACAATCCATAGAATCCTTTGAGTCTTTCCCTTTCTTAGAGATTTGTTTCCTATTATTTCGATTACCATTTTTGCTCATCAAGTATCTCTTTTCCTTCTTGTTCTCCAATTTGTTACACTTTTTATAAATGGCAGATAAAATTTTAAATAGTTTTTATTTCTTATTGTTCTCAATTATATTCCAAAATACTTCATTACCTTTATTATTCAGATTGCTAATCCATAACTACTCATTTTATGAAGTATTTCTGTTGATTATTTTTACTAATTTGGTCATCATACTTTTCATTTATAATAACTCTTTCTTGTTTTTATTTTGGAAATCTGATTTTATTTTAGACATGCAGTATCCTCTGAATCTCTCTAAGATAATTAATTTTACCCTTTAGAATAATTATTTCTACATTTTACATTATCTCTATTTTCTGTGAGTATTTTATTTTTGCTGTTGCGATTTAATAACTGCTGACTGGTTTTCAGTGTGTCGTGCGTATTTACCAATTAGCTGTGGTGGTGATTAATCTGTTGTCCAGCAGGATGTGTTTTACTGCTTTTTAGATTTGTTGTCCTGAGATCACCTCCTGCATAGACAGAGGCCTGATTGTGTGTGAGCCAGGCCAGTTTACTAGGAAACCTTCTCTTTACACTAGCAGCATGCAGAGCAATCAGACTAGCAATGACCGGTCGGTGGAAGACAGTACTTTGGGAAAGGAGTATTTTGATTAATTTTACTTGAGGTAGAATTGATTGTTCTCTATCTTAGATGCCCAGCTCGCCCAGGAGATCCAGAGCTGTCCCCAACTCCTTTCTGCCTCTGTTCCCCTTCACTGCAACTGCAGCTGCAATGTGGGACCACCCAGGAGACTCTTCTGTTCAGGGTAAATATGAAGTCTTCAGCTGGGAAACACAATGGACAGCTGCTCTGTGCGTGCTGAGGAGGTGGGAGCTGGGGGCAGAGTGGTTGAATGACTTGGCAGCTTTGTAAGTATTCTGGAGCTTAAATTATGTCAAGGCCACCCCAAAGCATCTCCTACACTCTGTAACCACTTCAGATTTAAAGCCATTGACTTTTCTTTTTCATCACCAACAGTGGCAGTCTCCTGTAAACAACAGTGTAAGGTTACAATCTCCTGTAACCTTGACTCATATGTATATTAAAATGTGCTTTCTTTGATCTAAGTTTTGCTTCTATATAACCATGTATCCTAATAATCTTAACATTTTTTAACACTTTTTGGCTACTGTTGGCAGACATGTTTCAGTTTTAGTACTCCCATGATTATTTGCTTATATTGTTTAGTATAGCTTTACTTGTACTTCAATAATATATTGGGAAAACATAGTTCAATATGATGCATTATAAAAGAAAATGAAGTATTTGATTAATATGACTTAGCAATGAACATAATTTTTGGATGTGGACAACTGTGTCTCAAATATTTTTGTGGCAGGAGGAGATATAATAAGGGATGGTTGACTAAATGGTAGTTTCTTTCAAGGCTTTGTACTGAGCTTAAGGAAACTGAATTAAGGTGGATTAATACCTGGGGCTAGTAAGGATTGGGAACTAATGTTCTCCAAGGCCTTAAGAGGCATTGCACAGCAAAGCAAATGATCAGCAGTATTAGGGGCCGGCAACGTGGCTCACTTGGTTAGTCCTCCGCCTGAAGTGCCAGCATCCCATATGGGCGCCGGGTTCTAGTCACGGTTGCTTCTCTTCCAGTCCAGCTCTCTGCTGTGGCCTGGGAGGGCAGTGGAGGATGGCCCAAGTGCTTGGACCCTGCACCCACATGGGAGACCAGGAAGAAGCACCTGGCTCCTGGCTTCGGATCGGTGCAGCTCGCCAGCCGTTGCAGCTATTTGGGGATTGAACCAACGGTAGGAGGACCTTTCTCTCTGTCTCTCTCTCTCTCACTGTCTATAACTCTGTCAAATAAATTAATAAAAAAATCGATCAGTAGAATTAACAGATATCCAACAGAATAGGAAAAAATATTTGTAAACCACCTATCTGACAAAGGATTAATCCCCAAATATATCAGCAACTTAAAAAACTCAACAATAAAAATAAATCTACTTCAGGAATGGGAAAAGAATTTCAATAGACAGTTCTCAAACGAAGAAATACAAATGGCCAACCAGTATGCAAAAAAATGTTCAAAATCAATAGCCATTAAGGACATGCAAATCAAAACTACAATGATATATCACCTTACTCCTGGCAAAATGGCTAAATCCAAAACACAGAGAGTAACTAACAAATGCTAGCAAGGATGTAGACAAAGGGGAACACTTATACACTGTTGGTGGGAATAAAAATTAGTGTTGGTGCTGTGGAAAACAGTGTAGAGATATCCTAAAAAATATAGAAGTGGATTTGCTATATGATCCAGCAATCCCATTACTGTGTATATACCAAAAATACTTGAACACAATGCATCAGAAATACCAGCACCACCATGTTCTTAGCAACACTGTTCACAATAACCAAAATTTGGAATCAACCAAGGTGTCCATCTTCAGATGAATGGATAAATAAAATGTGGTACATATGCACAATAGAATATTATTATAGTATGTATATATATAATATATAATATTATTATAAACTATGAAATTCACCATTTGTAGAGAAATGGACACAAGTGGAAGACATCATGATGCGTGAAATAAGTAGACCCAGAAAGACAAATACCACATGTTCTTCCTTATATGTGGGATCTAAAATTCCAAAAGCAAACAAAAAATAAATAAAAAAGGAAGAAATGTCTGTGTGTATCGGTATTGCTGCACATATAGTTTTTAAACCTTTGTTTTATACTTTTGTCAAACCAATGGTTAAGAATGTTTCTTTTTTTAAATATTTTATTTATTTATTTGAAAGTCAGAGTTACAGAAAGGCAGAGGCAGAGGCAGAGACAGAGAGAGAAAGGTCTTCCATCTGTTGGTTCGTTCCTCAGATGGCCACAACAGCCGAAGCTGCACCAATCAGAAACCAGGACCCGGGAGCTTTTTCTGGGTCTCCCACTCCAGTGCAGGGGCCCAAGGACTTGGGGCATCTTCTACAGCTTTCCCAGGCCATAGCAGAGAGCCGGATAGGAAGTGGAGCAGCCGATACTAGAATTGGCACCCATATGGGATGCCGGCACTGCAGGTGGCAGCTTTTTCCTGCTATGCCACAGCACCGGCCCCAAGAATGTTATATTGCTATAGTTTCAATGACTTGTGATTACTTTTAAATCTACTGTATATGGGTGAAATGGTCCATTCTAATACTGTTTATGGCCATTGTCTATATGCCCACTAAACTAGGGTCTTTTTGATTTTTATTGTTAAACTTTTAGTTGGTGAAATATTAAGCCTTTTTACTGTAACATAAATATAAAATATGCTATCTTAAAAACTACAAAGAAAAATCAGAAAGAAAGAAAGAAGGAAAGATTGGGAAGGATAGAGTAGGAGGTTGCAGGAGAAGGAGGAAGGGAATATTAAAAACCAAACATTTTTTAAAAAAATTTAGTAGCGGCATTAAGTGACAAGAGAATAATAGTAACTGGAAACCCTTAGGATAACTGATAAAAATGTCTTTTAGGACTTGTGGTATAAGGATATCCTTTGGCAGAAGGATAGAGTTAATCCACAAGACACAGGGAAATAAATATTTCTTTTTTTTTTTTTACAGTAATGCCTTTTTTTTGACAGGTAGAGTTATAGACAGTGAAAGAGAGAGACAGAAAGGTCTTCCTACCATTGGTTCAAATGGCCACCACGGCCAGCACTTCACTGATGCAAAGCCAGGAGCCAGGTGCTTCTTCCTGGTCTCCCATGTGGGTGCAGGGTCCAAGCACTTGGGCCATCCTCCACTGCCCTCCCAGGCCACAGCAGAGAGTTGGACTGGAAGAGGAGCAACCGAACTAGGACCTGGCTTCCATATGGGATGCCGGCGCCACAGTGGGAGGATTAACCATGTAAGCCAAGGCGCTGGCCCCAGAAATAAATATTTCATCTAAATCTACCTTACTCTGTTCTGTTACTGAGTCCTTTTAACTGAACCTCACTGCTGACTAAAGGAGAGAGCTCCTTGATGTTTTCTATAGATAAGCCTCCAGGAACACAGATCAGTGTAGATAAAGACAGGCAGTTGATCTGTAGGTCAGTTGGGAAATGCCCAGCAGAGAGTAATCCTGTGTGTTCACTCCGGCATTTTGTCAAGATGAGATGTTATGTACCCAACAAGGACCCATCCCCACAAAGTCTTATAAATTATATCGATGGTAATTTAAGGATTTTCTCAAGGAACTTCAAGGCAGCACCAGGGTTCTCCTATTAAGCAGGAAAATAAAGAAGAGAAAATGGAAAAGAAATAATTAACATAATGCTTTTCTGCTTTAGTCTTCTTTCTGATACCAGTCATGAGGCCTAATCTGATAGTGAGAGCCTCCTTTCTCCACTCCCCATCTGTCTTACCTTGACTCTAGCAGCATCTCAGGAGAATAACACTCCTTACCTGTTGAGGTGGTCCTGAATGACCTGGGTCCATGGTGGTCCTGTCTGTATTGTGTTGCTGTAGTTCCCACTGACCAGGTTATTAAGCAAGGGAGTCCCAGGATGTACAGCGGTAAAGACCTTGAGTTTCATATGTAGACTTCCTTGTCCCAAACGAGTAGCAGCCCAATTTCACGGTTAATTTATTTCAGTCATTTTAGTAAATAAGTGCTCTCTCTCTCTTTTCCTTGGGTTCAATCATGAGAATCTCAAAATGGCTGGAAGACCATTAAACAGGCCATGACTGTTCCATGATGGAAGTATTTATTCTTAGGTAATCTGACTCCAAAATCATTCCAGTGGATAATATCATAAAAGCAAAAGGGTTTACTGCATGTCTTAATCTGTTTCCTTGCCCAATATATTCTGGTTATGGTAGTAATACCTCCATATTGAGAGCCAGTTTAAGGCATATAACCTTTCACATTGGATAGGACTCTAATTTTGCAAATGTTCTCCATTTGGTGAATGAATTGAGTCCTTATTATTTTCCCTTTCATGAGTTGAGTACTTAGTTGGCCATAATGTTACAGCAAGTCACCCGCTCTTGGGTTATGGACACATGGTAAAATCACTAAAATTTATGTCTATGATTGTTGCCTTCACTTCAAAATGAGTTTTCATTTTGGAGATGTTGTTTGGGAGCCTATGATAATGTATGAAATTAATAATGGAGGCTCTCTGAGGGACAGAACAGAGTCAAGTGGAGAGTGGATCTGGGAGACCAAATGAAAACTACACCAGCACACAAGGAAGTAAAACCTATTGCAAAGAGGAAGTAAAGGAAGGAGGAAGAAGAGAAAGAGATTTAGAGGAGAAAGAAACACACTGGCTTAAATAATGATTAGAGAAAATAACTTCCTAGGGGAAAAATAGGTAAGTTGACAATAAGACAAATTCTTTTGACTTTGTTCTCTTACAATTAACACAAAAGACAATATGGGCCCCATTTAACCATCAAATCTTAATGGGGAAATAATTCTGAACCCCTAGGACATCATAATAGTAACTCACATCTAACACAAGAGCAATACAGTGGTTTTGTTTTCTTAAAAATATTTCTATTATAATTTGATCAAATAAATTCATCCATAATTTCCTCAAGTGGTGAAAGAACCATCCTTCCATGAACTGAATACTTAAGGTGCCACATACTCATTGTTCAAAGCAATGGGTACATAAAAATGATGAGTCCATGCCCTTAAAAAGCCAACAGTCTTGTAACAAGGAAGATATGCAAATCAGCAGACGTAATACAATGTGATTAAAGAGAGAAAACAGTGACTGGAAGTGCCCGGATAGGAAGGGAGAACAGTTTCAATTAGTCCACTAAAAGTTTCATAAAATAGATAAGTTCTGAAGAATTAAAGAAAAAAACAATGTTATTCAAACAAAAAGTAGAGGCAAAAAAAAAAAAAATCCCTGGAAGATATAAAGCAAGTTGAATCTTAAGGAGGTATGTGAGGTGTGAGAGAGGAGAGGATCAGGCTGGTGGGGTTGGTGGTAAAAAGGGACAAGAGACTTCTGTCAGTACTTACTAACACTACTTTCTCTATTATGCTCCATTGGCTGGTTTCTGACTATTCTTAAAATTCGTATATAAGGGAATTAGATAAGCCACAAATAGATGATCCTTCAATCCTTCATGTTATATATTCTTTGTTTTTTTTGTTTGTTTGTTTTTGGTTTTTTTTTTTTTTTTGACAGGCAGAGTGGATAGTGAGAGAGAGAGAGACAGAGAGAAAGGTCTTCCTTTACCGTTGGTTCACCCTCCAATGGCCGCTGCGGCCAGTGCACCACGCTGATCTGAAGGCAGAAGACAGGTGCTTCTCCTGGTCTCCCATGGGGTGCAGGGCGCCGAGGCTCAATAGGCTAATCCTCTGCCTGTGGCGTTGGAACCCTGGGTTCTAGTCGCAGTTGGGGTGCTGGATTCTGTCCCGGTTGCCCCTCTTCCAGGCCAGATCTCTGCTGTGGTCCGGGAGTGCAGTGGAGGATGGCCCAAGTCCTTGGGCCCTGCACCCGCATGGGACACCAGGAGAAGCACCTGTCTCCTGGCTTCGGATCAGCGCGGTGTGCTGGCTGCAGCGCGCAGCTACAGCAGCCATTGGAGGGTGAACCAAAGGTAAAGGAAGACCTTCTCTCTGTCTCTCTCTCTCTCTCTCTCACTGTTCACTCTGCCTGTCAAAAATAAAATAAAAAAAAAACATTATTCTAGAGTTTGAAACCATGTAGAGATTTCCTGATGAAAATTCTTAAACATATATGAGTACGGCCATGAAATATTTTTTATTATTTCTAGTACCAGAAGTGTTTAATATAATATTTATTACAAT